TTTCATTTCTCCACTCCAATTTGCCTCTTCATTCGTGATGAGCTGATACTGTACTTCAATAGAAAACTCTCTCTTATCAGTGAGCTTCCTGACCTGAACCCAACTATATATCCGCAAATTGGATCGTTTTACACGGGAGTCGTGAATGCAAACGCATCAGTGAAGTAAAAGGATATATATTTCATTTATCAATTCCAGATTGCTACTGTCCAGTAGATCCTCTCAAGCGATACGTCAAGCCGTCGTGTAAAGAACATGTAAGGTAATTATAGAGACTGCAAGGTATTTGTAGGAACATCTAGAGACATATAATTACATCTAATCACTGTAAATTGTCTTTGTTGCTGCAGCCTCAGGATGAAACAGCGTAGAAAAACATCAAAGAGGCTGCATTAGGATTAGTACGGGGAACTATTTTGGCTTCAAGCTAAATAGGGATTTTTGTCAGGACTTATCGTTCCAGTTGTATAAAATGAAACTATTCACAATGAATTCCAAATCGTAATTCATCAATGTATCAATGCCCCCCCCCACTCTCTTTCAAAAATTAGACCCATATTCCATTTCTAATTTAATAAGTGGGTTCTTTAATAAGTGTTCTGTAATATATATATATATATATATATATACTTGATATTGCCAGACATTTGAATATTTGTGATTGGAATAATTCAACTCAGGCTTTCATTCCATTTCTATACTTAGGTCTCAGATTATCCTACAGGATTTGTTGTTGTCTGTGGTGGTTTTAGCACAATGGTATGTACCAGATGTTGCTAGTACCAGCCATAATATAACAAAAAGATAAGATACCAGTTATTTCTGTAAATTGAAGTTTTACATTTTGTGCACAATTTTGCTTTTGTTTTCCAGCATCTTTTCACATCAGAGAGGAATTGCTGAAAAAGATGATGGAATCTTCTTTCAATAATGTTGGTGTTACGATAAAGTATGTGAACATTTTAAGTAAACAAATTTTAAGTAAATGACAAAATGACTTATATTCAGGTTACTTTATTTGTTTACGTTTTAACCGTTTTTGACAAAATTTTTTCCAGGTCTGTAATTTACTTTGAGCTGTATTTGTTATTTCTTTTGCCTCGGTTTTAGGCAGAAGAAAAGTTCCATCAAAGTGGAGTCGTTTTTATAAAATTTGGAAAATACAGTTGAATGATATATTTTAAGACAGTATTTCGTTTTTCCTGTGTTAAGAATGTGGGATATGACAGTAAATGACAATTTTTTCGTTTCAGTGATGACGAACATATCACATCAATGTCAGAATTCAGCGTCTATAAAGAAACTCCTCGGAGTAAAGTGAGTTATGTTGTTAATAAAATTCTTCTAAGAGTCTATCCTTTTTCTCATTTTAAAATCGTTTTGACACTCTCAAATTTAGGATCCTGTTGAAAGAACGCTGTGTTTCTTAGAAACGTACAATATCGTCACCCTTCATCCCCTTAGCTCATTAAGTCATGCGACATTCAATGTCAGTTCCAGTAATTGTTCATATCTGACCTTGAAAGAAAACACTCCAAACACTCAATGTTTTCTGACCTGGATTCAAGTTTACTGCTTTTATCGTCTTTTTTATTTCACGTTTCCATTTTGAACATGTCCAATTGCAAAAAAGTATCCAGCCGAGTTAAAATAGTTTTATTTTTCCAGTTACTTTCCAGAATATACCGTATATACCGTATAGTATATCATAGTTTTCAAACTTCTTTTCCTGTCAGATATTTTTAATAATTCGAAATCGAAACCATCCTCAGTCGTTCGGGCTGGAATACACAAGCGGTCGGCTGAGAAATTACTCGTCTCCTGACAGGTAGTGTAAGAAAGCAAATTTTGTATGAAGCTAAAAAAAATATTTCTTGTTTTGAATGTTTGTATTTCACTCAATCTAGGGAAACATTATTGGCTGGTTTGCTAGACGGTGTTAGAGCCAGTTGAAACATAGATGTTTGCGTAAAACGACCCCAACGAAGAGAAGTACTGTACGCTTATTCATAGATGATTGAGCGAAAATTATGGTCAAAATTTTCCTGATGAAAATCTCGTACTGCTATGATTACCCTAAATACGATCCCTCATTTCATTCTCCTGCTGACGTATGTGATCTCATATAACACACCAACAATTACACTTCTCGTCAGGTATCAGCTAATAGCGTTTTCCTATTAGCCAGTTCAATACATCACATACAGCAAAAGAAGAATTTTTTTTTAAGATGATATATTTTTCAAGGTTATCGTTGGGGTCCATTGTATAATGTTGTTGACGAAGAAGTAGAAAGCAGTCATTTAAATTCCTCGCTGCATCTCCAGGTGAAATATTTCCCTTTTTATTTCACTTTAAATTTTTGAAATATCTCCAAAAGCTTATATTGTCTTATGACTGGTTCCTTGCAGGAAATTTAACCGAAGCTGTGTACAGATTTAACTGCAATATTTCCTACTGCGGTCTACTTCATGCAGTCACCCAAGACGTAAGTTGACAACTTCTTATCTTGCACTTTTCTGCAGACGAAATCCTGTGTAGAGAATATTATTGCCTTTTTATTGAGTTTTAATGTTTTGTCAAAATCTGGATTAAGGCTGTTTTCCACTCACGTGTTTTTCATACGCACGTACACGCACATAAAAATCTAAATTCTTATACATGTTACCTTTGAAAAAACGAAGTGAATAAATAGACCTAGATGCATGATAATTAATAAAAATTTAAAAGCAATTAAAATTCTCCGTATGTGTACATGCGTATAAAAACGCGTAAGTAGAAAGCAGCCTTTAGTGTAAACTAAACGATTGCTAGGCTGCATAGTTACGTTAAATGAAAACATTTGCCCATTTCGGCTGCTAATTGAAAACATTTAGCAGGGTTTAAAACGTCTGCAAACAACACTGTACATTTAAACTGGTTTATCCAGTATAGCCAAAGGCAAAGAGTATAGCTTTAATAAAAATACCCTATCCTGCTACTGTTCTGTGCACAAATGTACACAAAACACTAATAGTACTCCCTAAAAACCGCCGTAACTCCAGCCTAGTCCCAGACCTCTCATTGCGCGTGTTTTATATTTCCGTCACGTCACCGAATGAAACGCGCGCGAGAGGCCTAACACAAAATATTTTCTAATCTTAACGGCTCGTTTAATGTTGTGAACTTGAAATTAGAATTGTTATTAAAGTAAATGTTTGCAATTTACAACAGTAACCGTTATAAAGGAAGCGAGAATAATTTAAATTATTATGCATTGCTAAGGCAATATCGATTGTGATTGGCTAAAAAGCTACAGATAATTCTCAATGTCTTTGTAACGTGTCGAATTAACAAGAATAGACGCACACACAGTTTACAATTATATATATATTCTTTTCAGCTTTACACGTGCAACCTTCTCACTTCGGTTGTACGCTCATACTAACTAACTTGAGCGTCTTGTATTACCATGCATATACTGTCCGGAAGCAGTCTGTTTTATATTAACACGTTACACCATCCCCCAACAATATTATTCTTGCCCACAAGAAGTGCAGTGAAATTTACGATAACTATGTTTACGACTGTGTTCTTACAGGGAGTATTATCTTGCAACAAAACCGTACCGATCAGGCGGTTGGACATTTTGCCTGAGATTCCTAGGCCTAACCTGGGGGATATGTGGAGCATCGTCGCAATTAGGTTGAACGTTGTTCGTGGGAACAGTGTAAACCACTTGGTCGCCCCCAAGTTCTCGAGCAGGACAAACAACTTTGCCGTTGTTTAATGGTGCATAGCCGCGCTTCAACCGATCATGATGAACTACCGTAATCTTGCCTGTGCTTGATTTTATTTTGTAATCAACGCCAAGCCTGCAAATAAGTTCAAACGGCCCAATCCACTTGGTTCCGAATTTCCATCCTTTCGGTCTGCGTAAATATACCGTCTCTCCTGGTGCGAATGGACACCAAGTTTGATTTCTTTTCTCGTTACATTTCCTTTGTTTCTTCCTTGCTTTCTCTAAGTTAACTCTTGCTACCTCTCTCACCTCTCTAAATATCTTCCTAACAGACTGGCTGTATTCTGATTGTGTCTTAGGTTCTTTGAGTGGAAAACCTAACTCGAGTTCGATGGGTAATCTGGGCATACGACCAAAGACTAGTTCATATGGTGAAGTTTGTACCGACTCCTGCCGACTAGTGTTGTAAGCGAAAACTACCGAATCTAACCATTGATCCCAATCATGGTCATCTTTACTACAAAATGCCGCTAACATGTCTTGCAAAGTTCTGTTTTGCCACTCTACCTGCCCGTCACATTGAGGGTGATATGCAGTGGTCCGACTCTTTGTAATTCCCATTATATCACACACTTCATGCAGTAATGTGCTTTCAAAATTTGCTCCTTGATCAGAGTGTAAGACAACTGGGGGACCGAACCGACTGAAAACTCGATCAACAAGTATTTTAGCAACTGTTGATGCTTTTTGATCTGGAGTAGCAAAAGCCTCACACCATTTCGTAAAATGATCCATTAAGACTAAAATGTGTTTGTTTCCACGACTACTTTCGGGTAACGGGCCCATATAGTCTAAGGCCCAGAATGTAAAGGGTTCGCTAACCTCCAAGCTTTGAAGTGGTGCTTTGCCATTGTTATCCGTTGGCGCCGGCGCTTTTCTCTGGACACAAACGTCGCAATGCCTAATGTACGTTTCAACAGTCTTCCGCATTTTTGGCCAAAAGAAACGGTTTCGAACACGATCAAGAGTTCTAGTCACCCCTAAGTGCCCGGCAAATGGACTGTCGTGCGTGCCTTTTAATATTTCAATTTCTAAAGATTTTGGTACCACGATAGCTGGACCTGGGTGTGTATTTCTGGTCTTTAACGATTTATAAAGCACCCCATCACGAACAAACAAGCTATCATAGTGATGCCAGAACGAGACCAATTTGGGATTACGTCGCCATGCAGCTAATTTATTTCTCGGCGTACCGCTTTCTTTAGCATTGATAATTTGAGAAAGTAGTGGATCCGTGTGCTGACAGTTCCTTATGTTGTTTGTCGGATTGATGGCAATTGCGCAGTTATCTGGCACATGTTCCTGTGAATTGCACGTTGAATTTGTGCCGTGGTTTGTATCAAGTAAGCAGTCCGTCCGGGTAGGTTCCGGAGACTGATGAGGGGCTACTAAACGAGAAAGTGCATCTGCGTTGTTGTGAAGTTTCCCAGGTTTGTGTACGACAGAAAATTGAAATTCTTGTAATTCCATGACCCACCGCTCGAGGCGCCCTCTGAGATGTATACTACCTAGCCATTGTAGAGCGCTATGGTCCGTTATCACTTTAAATGGGCGACCGAGCAAGTATGTGCGAAAAGTGCGAGTACCAAATACAACCGCAAATGCTTCCTTTTCTGTTGTGCAATATTTACGTTCGCGAGCCGATAAAATTTTAGATGCGTATGCTATGGGTCGTTCTAACCCATTGTCGTCAAGCTGTGAGAGTACGGCACCTAATCCTATATCTGAAGCGTCCGTCTGTAGCAGGAATTCTTTGTCAAAGTTAGGATGGACTAAAACTGGCGAATTACAGAGGCATGTTTTCAAGGTGTGAAACGCCTGCTGACACTCTGGAGTCCAGTCAAATGCTTAGCCTCGGTTTTTGTAGTCAATTTAGTGAGAGGGGCCGAAATAGATGCATAACTCTTGATAAAACGCCGGTAATATCCAGATAAACCTAAAAACTTCGGACTTCTTTTACGGTCTTAGGTGCAGGAATTTGTTTTATTGCTGCCACTTTTGATGGAAGAGGACTAATGCCCGCTTCGGATATCACATGTCCCAAATAGTCAACCTTTCGCGCTGCAAAAGTACATTTTGACAAATTTAAACGCAGATTATGTTGCTGAAAACGAGCAAGGACCGCTCTTAACCTATCACAATGTTCAGCGATACTGTTACTAAAAATGATGACGTCGTCTAAGTAACAAAGGCAAATGCTGAATGTCAGACCAGCTAAAACGAGTTCCATGGCTCGTTGAAATGTCGCAGGCGCAGTAGCTAACCCAAAGGGCATCCGGTTAAACTCATACAAGCCAGCATGTGTAACAAAAGCTGTTTTTGCGCGGTCATCTGGGTGGACGGGAATTTGGTGGTAGCCGCTTTTTAAGTCTAGAGTTGTAAAGTATTTTGCATGTCCAACCGAGTCCAAGAATTCATCCACCCGAGGCAAGGGATGAGCGTCATGGCGTGTGATTTGATTGAGTTTGCGGTAATCAATACAAAAGCGAAGTTCACCTGACTTTTTGCGAACTAGGATGATTGGGCTGGCCCAAGGGCTAGTGCTGGGACGGATTATGCCTTGATCTAACATGTCTGTGATTTGTTTTTCGGCCTCTTCGCGATATGCATATGGCATTCGCCTGGCGCGTTGCCTAATGGGTGGATTATCACCCGTGTCAATTGTATGATGCACAATGTTGGTTAGGCTAATGTTGTCGCTAAAAAGTTCTTGAAACTCATGCAATACTTGTTTCACTTGTTGTTTTTCGGGCTGACTTAAATCTGGATCTAACATAGAATCTATTTGTTGCGTGAACGGAGTTGTTTTGACGGCATTACAATTAACCGGAAATTTTTTAGTGTCGACGGTATTCGGTTCAATTAGTGGACAAAATTCAGCCAATTTGCACCCTTTTTGTAGTTCGATTTCGCCTTCTGTGGTATTCGCTATTCTAATTGGAACTGTTTTACCAATAGGGGTGACAACTAAATGAGCTACATGTAGTCCTTTTAAATGTTTTACGCTATCTGACTGACTAGCTGATATCATGCCAACCTGTGAAACATCTTTCGCCTGTATCTTACCTTCAATTATTATTTCCGACCGAGCCGGAATTGCCACTCCCTCAGACAATGTCACTTTATTGATACCTCTGGACAGTGATTGCGTCAGCACTGCACTGTCTCTGCTGGAGTTGTTGGGAGGAACGACTGGCGAGTCCTTCTCTGTTATCACAACTCCATTCGATTGTACCTTATTTGCTGGATGCTCCGACTGTATTGGGCATTTCCCATAAGTCCCCACTAGCTGATAACTGCTTCGCCCTCCCAAAACACTCCCCTGAACACTTAATGTATGCCGCATAATAAAGTCCCATCCCAGAACACAGTCGTAAGGTATATTGCTACTGACAAGAAACGAACTATGGTACTTATGTTTAGACCGGTGCATGGTTACATTAGTAGATATGCTTCCTACAATATTTAACTCCCCCCCAGTAATCGACGTACAACGCTGTGATTGCGACGTGTCTAATCGAACACAGTCAAAGTCTATTACATGCAGGACTTTATCGCTTATAAAGGACTTCATGGATCCGGTATCTAATAGAGCATTGACAGGTACACCGTCAATGAAACAAGCAACAAACGGGTGTTCAGGTAAATTAATATCAGTGTGGTTAGTACCA